GTGCAGGGCTGGGGTTTGGGGTGCAGGGGAGATGTGGGGTACAGACCTCGGACTCGGGGTTTAGGGGGAGGCGTGGGGTGCAGACCTGGGATCTGGGGTGCAGGAGGAGATCTGGGGTGCAAACCTGGGGTGCAGGGGGAGATTTGGGGTGCAGACTTGGGATTTGGGGTGCAGGAGGAGATCTGGGGTGCAGACTTGGGACTCAGGGTGCAGGGGGAGATCTGGGGTGCAAAGCTGGGGTGCAGGGGCACATTCGGGGTGCAGACCTGGGACTCGGTGAAGGTGTGGGGCAAGGCTCCATTTCTGGAGGCCTTGCAGTGCCACGTGGCAGGGTCTGGCCCCAGTCCAGGTGCCACCTGCAAACTGGGAGCCCACGGGCCACCGGCCAGTTTCATTAGTTAGCAATTACAGCTGACGAGTTTCTGCTGGCCTGGCCACATCACCACCAAACACACCGCTTCCACTTTCCTTTTCTCTTTTGCTGGTGGAAGCAGGTAAACCCCCCCACCCAAAAAAAAAATGATCCCACTGACCTGGCACGTGGCTGATGTTCATGGCTGATGATTGTGGGTGCCCATGCCAGGGTCGGGGTGAGCTTGGTGGTCCATAGCGGGGTGCACCCTGAGGTGACCACAGCTTAGCCCCCCCCATTCCCTGCAGGGTTTTGGCCATGACGGAGGCAGCGGGGCTGGTGCCCAAACGCATCCTGGTGACGGGTGGCACCGGCTTGGTGGGGAGAGCCATCGAGAAGGTGGTGGCTGATGGAGAGGGGCGGCCAGATGAGGAGTGGATCTTTGTGTCCTCCAGAGACGCCGACTTGACGTGAGTTGACCGTGTGGGTTTTTGCTTGGGAACCCCCCCGGTCTGCTCCCTCAACACCGCTGAACCCCAAAATTTCCCATCCTAGGAATGCCGCGGAGACCAAAGCCCTGTTCGAGCAGCACAAGCCCACCCACGTCATCCATCTGGCCGCCATGGTTGGGGGCCTCTTCAAAAACATCCGCTACAACCTGGATTTTTGGGTGAGCGCCCAGAAAATGGGCGGTATCGGGGTCCCTGAGGATGCTACAATCTCATGCTCTCCCCAAGCTGGGACATGGGGACACAGGGACTTGGCCTGCTCTGCTCCCAGGGCCAAACCAGAGCTCGTCTGGTTTCTAGAGTTATTAATGAGTTATTACCCATAGGATGCAGGATTTTGGGGGTCCCCACCCCACAGATCTGACAAATCTCTTCATCCCCAGAGGAGAAACATCCATATCAACGACAACGTCCTACACTCAGCCTACGAGACGGGAGTGCAGAAGGTGGTCTCCTGCCTCTCTACCTGCATCTTCCCAGACAAGACGACGTACCCCATCGATGAGACTATGGTGAGCATCTCCATCCCTGTGCACAGTCCAGGGAGGGGTCCCTGCCCTGCTTAACTCTTAACTCTCTGCTCTTTTGTCTCCAGATTCACAACGGGCCACCTCACAGCTCCAATTTTGGCTACTCCTACGCCAAGAGGATGATCGACATCCAGAATAGGTGCGGGGGGGGGCATGGGAGAGCCCTTGCAGGCTTCGAGCACCCACCGATTATCAGGGCAAGGGGAATCCCCTGGGACTCCCAAGAATTAAACAGAGCTGGGGAGATACCTGGGCTCAGCAGATGGAGATGCTGCTGGCTGGGGTCTTCTGGGGACAGCTCTGTGCCAGAGGGGTGGATGACTGTAGCTGAAGGACAACCCACCCACAACCCCCCCCACTGCTCTCACTCAGGGGCTACTTCGAGCAGCACGGCTGCCGCTTCACCGCCGTCATCCCCACCAATGTCTTCGGGCCACACGACAACTTCAACATCGAGGATGGCCACGTCTTGCCAGGACTCATCCACAAGGTCTACCTGGCCAAACGTGAGTGTGGCAAGACTTCTTATGGCTTTTTTTTGGGAGGGTTGGTTTTGGGTTTTTTTTCCCCTTGCTTGCTCCATAAGCTGCTCTGCAGGGTAGCCAAGATGGATGGAGGTGGCTCCGATGCTTATGGACATGCTCTCCTTCCTCTTGCAGAGACTGGCTCCGCTCTGACCGTCTGGGGCACGGGCAAGCCCAGGAGACAGTTCATCTACTCCCTGGTATGCGTGGCCTCGGGGAGCACTCGCCTCCCATGGCCTGGGGAGGGCAGGGTATGGGTCTGGGGGGGGCTGGTGCCTGGACCCCAGTAAGGTCTGAGCCCACCTGGGTTGTCCTGGGCAGCATTGGCCATCCTCAGGGTTGGGTCCCCTTGCGATGGGAGGGCTGGGGGACAGCAGCCACCCCCCAAGAGCCATCTGCCCCTCTGCAGGACCTGGCCCGGCTCTTCCTTTGGGTCCTGCGGGAATATGATGAGGTGGAGCCCATCATTTTGTCAGGTAAGCCCTGTCCGCCCCCCACCCTCCAGCCCCTTTTCAAGAGGATGGGGGAACAGCCACAATCATGCCCTTCTCCACAGTGGGAGAAGAAGATGAAGTCTCCATCAGAGAGGCAGCAGAGGCGATCGTGGAGGCCATGGATTTCAGGGGAGAACTTGTTGTATCCTTCACTGCAAGCTAGCCCCCCTTGTTTGCAGGGCTGCTGCAGCATGGGGGGCACCCCACTTGCCACCAGTAGCTGTAGAGCTCCAGGGGAGATGGCATGGTCCAGAGCAGCACCCTGAGCATCCCACCCACTGCCCAAGCCAGGACATGGTGGGGCCAAGCAAGACCTGGTTTTCCCCCCTTTGGTTTCCCTTAATCCCTCCCACCCCAGTTTGACACTACCAAAGCAGATGGGCAGTTCAAGAAGACGGCCAGCAATGCCAAGCTACGGCGCTACCTGCCCGGCTTCCAGTTCACACCCTTCAGGCAAGGTGAGGTGGGGGGGCTCCACGAAACACGGAGGTCCTACCCACTGCAGTTAGCCTTGGCGGCATCAGGGTGGTCCATCGTTTCAGTACCTAAAGGGTGCTTTATAAGAAAGATGGCAACAGACTTTTTAGTAGGGCCTGTAGTGATAGAACAAGGGGTAATCGTTTTAAAGTAAAAGAGGGGAGATTCAGACAAGATCTAGGGAAAAAATTTGTTACGATGAGGGTGATGAAACACTGGGCCAGGTTGCCCAGAGAGGTGGTTGATGCCCCATCCCTGGAAACATTCCAGGTCGGACGGGGCTCTGAGCACCCTGATCTAGTTGAAGATGACCCTGCCCATGGCAGGGGGATTGGACTAGATGGCCTTTAAAGGTCCCTTCCAACCCAAACCATTCGATGATTCAATGAACAAACTGCATTCCCAATCCCCAAACCCATCCCATCTTCTCCTTCCCCAGCCGTGAAGGAGACCTGCACCTGGTTCAGCACCAACTATGCCAACGCCAGGAAGTGATGGGCCAACGCGACACCGGGACCGGCATCACCTGGCACCGGCATCATCCTCTTCAACTCAGGGTTGTCCTTTGGTGGGGCAGAAGAACGGGGCTTGGGGGGGGCGGGGGGGGTTGTGACAGTGACATTTCCAAAGTAAAAGCGGGCCAGAGCCCAGCGAGCAGACCCTGTGTTCCTGCCCACTGCTGGGAGCGGCGCAGGACACCCAGGGCAGGGGGGAGGAAGGTCAGGGCACCCCAAAGTCGCTGGGACCCCAGACCAGGTGGTAGCAGCCAACTGGAGCCACCACCACTTCCTTGGCCACGTCCAAGAGGCTAATTACCTGTAATTAGGCTGTAATAAAGGGAAGGTGATCAGGGTTCCTCTGGCACAGGAATGGCAGCCAGGCATTTGCTGTTGCTTTCAGTGCGTGGGGATAGTCCTGAAGACCCCAGAAAAGCCACCCCTGCCCCAGCATCAGGATGGGGGTGGGGGGAACCAGAACGGGGAAGGCTAGAGCTGTAAATATGACATTTATTAAAATATATGCAAATAGCATAAAACTGGTGGGGTGAGGATCATCTGCCCTGCAGCAGGGTCTCATACCCACATTGAATAGCACTTAGGGTCCTGAGCACCACTATGTGTTCTCCACCAGGATCTGGAAGAGCCAAAAAAAGGGTTTAAAACCCCTCTGGGAGGGGGTAGAGGGTCAAACATGGGGGGATGAGTCCATGGCCAGGCTGCTGCATGAAGCTCAACCGGTGCTGTGGACATGGCAGAAGTCCTGCCCGGGGATGGCTTTCTTCCGGCATCGTTGCCCAGCCTTGGTGAGCCCCTGGCATGGGGACCGTGGGGACAGCAAGGACCTACGGAGGAGAGACCCATCAGCACCCCAGGAAGCCCCCAATGGGGCTGTCCCCCCACTGGCAGGTCACTGGCTGCACCCCAAGGTGACCAGCCCCTGGTGTCCCTGGAGAAGGGATGTCCTCTATGGTTGGTACTCACAAGTTGCTGGCCAGAGACTGGCTCGGGTTGCAGGGTTTGGGCTCCCAGCGCTTCCCAGTACCCAGGGCCGGCTCCAGCATCACCTGGTTGGGGAAGAAAGGGTTTAGACGGGGCATCCTCCATCCCTAGTGACCCTCCTGTGCTGCAGGAGTTGTACCCAGGGGACATGTGGGTCATACAGGATGGGTGCCTTGGCCATCCTTGGAGGACGCACCCCTCCACCCAAAAGTCCTCTTTAGGCATCACGTCCCCAGCCCTGGCCCCTCTCTCACCAGGGTGTCCAGCACCCAGAGGTGCAGTCACAATGAGGACACCCCAGCCCTAGAGACACTGACCCTCAGGGGGACCCAGCTGGCCCCCAGGAGAAAGGTCTGGCCCGACCTGGGGACATCCCCCCCCCAGCTCAGGCTTACCCCACACGAGCTCAGCTTTGTCCTCCAGGTACCGCGGACGGGTGACACCCACCCTGCTAAGCAAGGGGTGTCCCCTGCCATCCCTGGGGGCTGCTCCAGGCACGAGGGCTCTGCAAGAACATGGCACGGGTGGTGACACACTCCCAGACCTGCTGTCCCCAGGTGTTGGATGGGGACAACCTGAGGTGGTGCGCATCCCCTAGAATAGCCTGGGGACACTCTGGGGTAACGCACATGCTCCAGCACAGGATGGGGATATGCTGGGGCTTCAGACCCCTGTCCTACAGCCACCACACCTGCCACCTCATGGTCATCTCTCCCGTGTCCTCCTGCCCAGCCAGCTCTCACCTTCCAGGCAGCTCATCTCCATCCTCTCCAGCTCCTCCTGCAACAGCTCCATTTTGTGCTCCCTACACGGGAAGAAGGAAACCTGGAGCTCTACCACCTTGGTGGTTCCTTCCTCACCCCCATCACGATGGCAGCCCCCTCTCCAGCCTCCCCACACCCTCCTCCAAGGCTGAAACAGGGCAGGGAGCTGGCATGAGGTGCCCAAAAGTTGCAGGCAAGCCATCAAGATGTGTCCTGCCCCCCCTTGGGGACCAGCACCCCACCCTGGGGACCTCTGCCAGATGGCAGTAGGATGGGACATCCAGGATGGGTGCCCAAGGCTGGGTCCTAGCAGTTCCCAAGGGTGCCACACATGTCCTCTCCCCCCTCCAACCATCTCCTACCTATCCGGGGTGGAGGTGAGCCGGTGATGGGGGTCCTTGCGGGGAAGCACCAGCCAGGCTCCTCCAGCACCGCGGCGGGTGGCCGCCACCAGCCACTGCCCTGCAGGGAAGTGAGAGGGTGGGAGAGGGCAAAGCCCCCCCCCAGCCCACCCCCAGGGCAGCGTGTCCCCACTCGGGTCCCCCCCGACCCGTCCCCACCTGCCACGGCAAGGGCCAGGAGAGCAGAGAGTGCCGGGATGCCAAGGAGCTCGCCCAGGGCGCTGGAGGCGAGGAAGAAGAGGAGGAGGATGGCACGGGGCAGTATGGGCACCAGTAGTACGACCAGCAGGACAAAGTAGGAGCCATGTAGGATGCAGGTGGAGATGGCACTTGGGCTCCAACCTGCGGGACAGGGAGCAAGAGCCTGGCGTTGGCACCCACCGGCACCCATCCACCCTCCAGCACCCGTCTCCAGCTCACCGGCTGGGTCGAGGTCAGCGTGGAGATGCTGCAGATGGTTCTCCAGCCGGCTCTGTGCATCCTCCATGGTCGCCAGCATCAGCCCCAGGCTCTGGTTGACCTGCCGCAGCTTCTCCATCACCTCCTCCACCCGGCGCTGCTGGGCCAGGAGAAGGGCCAGGTCGCTCTCTGCACGTGGAGGAGACAGATACGGCATCGGGATGAGCCTCTCCGCTGGGAGAGCTGCACCCAGAGGTGTCCCGGTGCAAAAAAAGAGACGGGAACAGGGTTTGCTGCGTGCCCACCTAGCTGGGAATAGACATCCTGATCTTTTTCACGTGTGTGGTGGATGTCAGACAGGACAACCCGGTGCCCTTCCCGGAGCCCCGCGGCCCCCCGGCTGCTCACGTTCCCTGTAGGGAGGCACAAGAGGTTGGGTCGGTCCCCAAGGTGGGACGTGGGGATGTAGTAGCATTCCAGCTGGTGGCTCTTACCCATCCGCTGGGTGATGTCCTCCATGAGCTGGGCCACCCAGTGCTGCCCGTCGGTGATGAGGGTCTCGCCCAGTGCCGGCCGTTGCAGGCTGGGGTGGATGGGGGTCTCTGGTCTCTGCCGCAGCCACCCGGCCGGCCGTTCCTCCTGCCCCTCCTGGGGTGAATATTGGGGTGCTGGTGATGGGGGGTGGCCCCACAGCCCCCCATGGCGATGCCCACCACCACCGTAGGAGGTGGATGCTGGGTCTCCCCATGGGCACTCCCTCAGCATCCCAAAACGAGACCCCAGTGTTTAACCTCCATCCCACGGCGCTGGGGAAAGAGGGTTCGGAAAAGCCTTCGGAAGCGAGGGTGTGGGAGGGGGATCAGGAGTGGAAACCCCCACCTGCCACAAGGGAAATTGGCTAAACAGGGCTGGTTTTACCCCAAAATGAGGATGAGGGGCTGAGCAGAGGCAGCTGGGTGCAGCTCGGGCTCTGCAGCTACAAAGTTTGGGATTTGAGGGAGGGGGTGGCAAATTGCATTGGATTTGGGGTAGAATTGGAGAAAACAGGATTTGGGGTGCCCTGTTCCGGCACTTTACCATGTCTGGCGTGCAGGGGTATGTCCGGTGACCCTCGGCGCTGGCCGGGCAGTTGACCAAGTCCACCCCCAGCTTGGCCGCGTCCTCCTCCTCCTCCTCACTCAGGTCGGCACAGGACGAGCGGAGCCGCACCGTGACCTGGCGGCAGCGCTGGTGTCAGTAGAGCTCAGCACCCGTGGGTGCTCCCGGCACGGCCAGGGTGGGGGTATGGAGGGGTTGGTTTTGGGTGTGAAATAAGGAGAAAGGTGCGAGCCCACCCCAGCACTTGGCCTTCACCCCCCCCCCCCCCCAAAAAAACACACCCCACC